ATCTTTTGGCTAATTTCAAATCCAGCTTCCTAGACTACCAAACTGTGCTACAAAATATTGTATCCAGGAAACAGTTGTCTTTAGACTAAGAACACTTAGGTTAAAATTCCAAGTATTAGCTGTGTAAATTTAACCCTTTAATCATTTCCTCTGCTTATATTTACTGAACTGTAAAATGGGGTTAATGTAACTGCCCTCTTTAACTCACAGGAATATTGTGAAAATGTATTTTTAAAATGGAAATATTTAATAAAGTTCTATGTTAACTTGTATACTATTCTAAAATTTGGCCGGTGTGGTGGCTCACGCCTGTAATCCCAGCACTTTGGAAGACCAAGGAGAGAGGATTGCTTGAAGCCAGGAGTATGCGACCAGTCTGGGCAACAAAGAGACAGCCTTGTCATTACTTTAAAAAAAAAAAAAAAAAAAAAAAAGCTGAGTGCAGTGGCACGTGCCTGTAGTCCCAGCAACTCAGGATGCTAAGGCAGGGGTTGCTTGAGCCTAGGAATTTGAGGGTGCAGTCTGCAGTCAGCTACGATTGTGCCACTGCACACCAGCCTGGGCAACAGAGTGAAACACTGTCTCAAAAACAAAATAATATAAAATAAAATAAAATTTGTACTGGTTTATCAGGTACATGTATTTGTTGAGTTTAAATTTGGTAGGCTTTGTAGAGTAAGCACAGTGGCTGTTAAGCCAATTTTAGATTATAGTAAGGATAGCTTCTATGATGAAAAATTAGCTAAATAAAGTAATTTCACGTCTGATGATTTGATACATGAATTATAACTTGATGATTTTCTTAGTCAGGACTTCCTCCCACCTGCATTTGTCAGCAAGTGGTAAAACTCCATTCAGGCTGGGCGCAGTGGCTCACACCTATAATCCCAGCACTTTAGGAGGCTGAGGCGAGTGGATCACCTGAGGTCAGGAGTTCAAGACCAGCCTGGCCAGCATGGCGAAACCCCGTCTCTACTAAAAGTACAAAAAATTAGCCAGGTTTGGTAGCACATGCCTGTAATCCCAGCTACATGTGAGGCTGAGGCAGGAGAATTGCTTGGACCCAGGAGGCAGAGGTTGCACTGAGCCAAGATCACACCACTGCATTCCAGCCTCTGCGACAGAGCGAGACTCTGTCTCAAAAAAAAAAAGAAAAGAAAAAAAAAAAAAACCCTCCATTCAAATATACTAGAAGAGCATCATGTTTCTTATGGAACCAAAGGACAGAAGTGTAGCTGGACCTCATGTAACCCAGAGAACTAGGAGGTAAACATTGTCAAAAATTGTTATTCTTCCTTTCCTCAACTCTCTGTATGACTGCTTTATTCTTTAGTGTCTTTGGGGACTGGTTCTTTCTGCTTCTCATTAACATACATAGTCCAAAAATGGAAATCTCAATTAGCTTTAATATCTCTTCAAGTTCATGTTTCTAAGGTAGTGTAACCAGCACTTCTAGATCCCAAATCTAAATTCTCTGGAGAGAGAACTTGATTGGCCCAGCCTAGTCAATTTCCAACCATATTACAAGATTTCTCAACCCTCAGTACTATTAACATTTTGTATTTGTACTGACTAATGCTTTGTTTGCGTAGGGGTAGGAGAGGCTTTCCCGTGCATTATAGGGTATTTGGCATCATATCTGGTCTCTACTTTACCAGTGCCAGAAAATGATCCCTCCCACCTCTCCTCCATGATGTGACAACCCAAATTACCAAAAGTCCCCTGTGGGGCAAAATCACTTCTGGTTGATAAACACCCACCTATGAAGTAAAGGGTAAAGTATCCCATAAAACAAACATGCCTACTTGTGCTGAAGATCTAGAAGGGGTTGTTTTTTGGAGAAGGCCAAGTGTCTGCTTGGCAAGTATCCTGAAAGTGGTCTATTACAAAAATAAGAGACGTTGGTGGAAATCATAACTTTTGTAAAATTTAGCCAGCATAAGCAGATCTACTAAAATACATTAAAAGGTTCAGAATTTTAAGCACTGTATAAATTGAAAGAAAATTTCAATCAAAGTTAGGGAAAACTCATATATGTTATTTCTGCATTCTGCTCTAATACAGTGATTTTCACATTTTTTACTCATATATCTCAATCTGAGAATAAATATTCACCATCTATGTATATATAATATATAATATGTATACACAGAGTCTTTCTTGGTATCTACAGAAAATTGGTTCCAGGACCCCCATAAATACCAAATTCCATAGATGTTCACTTCCCTTAAATGAAATGGCATATAGTATTTGAGTATAAACTACACACATCATCCTGTATACTTTAAATCATCTCTATATTACTTATAATGCATAATGCAATGTAAATTCTATGTAAATAGATGTTATAATGTATTTTTTCTTTGTATTATTTTTAATTGTTTATTATTTTAATTGTTTTTTTCCAAATATTTTTGATCTACAGTTGGTTGAATTTGCCATGTGGAAACCAGTGATATGGAGAAATGACTGTAAAATCTGTACACATAATCAATACTACTGCATTTTGTCATCTGTAAAAATACACATAAAATAAGACACAGATGAAATTAAGAATTAAATTCTTATTTTAATTTTAATAGTATTAATTTTAATTATTAATAGTATTATTGAATATACTGTATGAGACTTCCGATGTAGAAAAGATGGCAGAGACCTTTTTCTTCCTACCTGTTAAATTCAACTATAAACCCTGAAAGTAATGCAAGAGACAACCAAAGGAGAAATCTGAAAGGTGGTGGGAGGAAGTAATTTTGCTTTGGGATCTAGCACTGGAGGAACAACACAACATCAGGGTGTCTTAAGTCCCCCTACTCAACAGAAGAGAGATCCATCCCAGCGTCTCCCAAATCTAAGCTCCTTCATCCCTCAGATCTATGGTGAGTCCCTCAACAGTACTAGCGGAGCCCCATGGGCCTGAGACTCCCCTCCTCTACCAGGAGGGTGTGGCCTGGCCCACCAGAGTGGCTCAGCCACAAGAAGGAACTTTTGCAGAAGCCTCTTTGACCCCTCTGTAAAATAAATAAGTGAATACATAAAATAAGTAGGTGAGTGAGTAAAAACTCACTTTTAATTTTGATACCTCGGAAGTTTTTTTCTGTCATGAAATGACCAGTGGATATCTAGCACTTTCACAGTCTCTTTGGTTGTCGCTTCATCACAAAGTGTTGCAGATTTTTCCTTACTTTAGAGAACCTGACTTCCTGCAAATGGCCACATGAGTGTCAGACCAGCGCTGGGATGCAATTTAGCCTCGACTTCTTTGCTATTAAAAGAATACCTCCAAATGTTGTGAATGAATTTCACAACAATAATCTCACCTCATTTAAAAGCCTATTTAAAATTCTTGTCAATACATTCCTGCCATAAAACATTGTTTCTATTAAATTAGTTAATTTAAATCTACATTGACTATTTTGCATCTAACCCTTTGACAAAGATCCAAAAATTCCCTAATGAACTACTTTGTCCAAAGAATAGGGATGGAAATAGGCATTTATGGACGTCGCTCTCGGTAGAGCTAATTGTTCCAACCTCAATAGAAAACAAGATCTCCATTTTGCTGTTCTCTACCAATTTCCAAATCCACATGTCTATGACCCTACAAATTCACCTCTAGAAATTAATACTACAAATAAGTCATACACATGCATGGGTTGAAGAAATCAAGTTGTAGTACAACATGCAAAACATGCTAATATTTGAACGAAAAATGGGGTAAGTGCTTATATACTTACTTCCTTGGGTATGCATAAACTATTTTTGGAAAAATACACCAAAATAGCCAATAATATTTGTTGCCTATGGATAGCTGAGGGAAAAAGGTGGGACCCACGTGGGAAGATACTATTTTACTTTGTAATCTTATCTATTTCATGAATTTTGGATGTGAGAATGTCCATGAATTAAAATTAATAAATTTAAGAAATCATTTATCATTGAAAATATCTCTCCTGTATTTTTATTCTTTGGTGGTTCACAATAAAATAATTCTTTTTGTATTTCTTTATTAAAAGAGAATCTAGCAAATAGAACTAGAAAAATGTGAACTGAGACAAATTAGAAATCTGTAAAATTTCATCAAAGCGTGTAATATTTGTATGTTTGAATCTTTAATATTTTCTGTGTCATCTATGCTAATAAAGAAATATATGTCAACTTGTCACTATACTTTTTTTCCATATCATATTTCAGTCATTTTTATGGCAGCAGGAAGAATGAGTGTTTACTATTTGTATAGGACATTTTATTTTTCATTTTTAAAGACATCATTTATTCTTAAGATTCATGAAAGTTCAGTGCTGGTTTGAGTACTAAACAACATTAAGAATGCTGAAAAAAATCTAGCTATTTGTCTTTACATTTAGTATGCTTTGCTACTGTATATCTTAGCAATGATGATAGCTTCATATTTTCTTTAGCTAATGACTAATCCAAGAAACAATATAAACTAAGGGCAATAGTCATTGTCAACAATAGTGACTATTTCCATAATTCATAAAGTTTGTATCCCTCTGCCTGGAACACTGCCTGGAAAAATACAGTGGATACATAGTAGTACCCTTTCTTTTTTTCTTTCCTTTCCTTTTGTAATGAATGAATAGTGAAATAATTAGTTAGTGAAAGGACTGAGAGACCCAGTTAACCTGAAATTTTGTACACAATGGATTTCCCACTTCTCGTGATATAAAAACTATTTTGTACACATCAGATTTCCCACTTTTAGTGATGTAAAAACTCTAAAGTTATAGCTACTATCACCACAGCTGTGCTGTTGAGATCATTAACCTAGAAACCAAGAAGAAACCTAAGAATCAAGTATATATTAATTTTCATTTGAAAGCAATCAAAATTGGGTAGTTTTCTTGGCCCAAAGCAAATCAACCACAAGGAGGCAACAGCTCATTTCATGTTTTAGATGACCAGAGGCATGAAATGTACCAATCATAAAAATTCCTTGGCCACATCAAACCTGTGTGCTCTCACTGATGAATACTTACAAGTCTGGCAATGATTTTCCGTGGGTCCCCAGCAACGGCCAGTACAGGACTTATGGCAACGTCCACCTGCAGAACAGGAAAAGGGAAAAAGCACATGCACGTTATAATCTTTCACTCCTCGACCAGGAGTAACTCCTCAAAGGAAATACTCCTGCTCCTTTACGAGGATTTTTATATCATACTAGAGCTGAAACATAGCCCATAAAATGCCCACTTAAGTAGGAAAACCTGAATGTCAAATATATGTGAGACTAAAGTACAACCTTCTGGTATTCAAATCCTCTTATCATTTTATAGGAAAATAAAATAAATGAATTTGTGAATTTTCTCAGAAAATCAAAAGCAAACAATTACATTTAATAAGTTTCACTTTCACTATTGAGCATTATTATTCTATTGATCTAATCTACTTGATATAATTTCCAGAGATCACATCTTACTGAGAGCAGCATATATTAAAAAGTAAAGGAAAAAAAATAAGTTGAAATCTGTGAGAACACGAATATATTTTTACAAACACATGAAAAATCATCAGAATAAATGGCAAAATCCTGCATTTAAGCTATTTTTGAAAGCTTAATTTCAATTATTTTTATACTTCTAAAATGTTTATTAACATTATTTGCATTTTCAAATATAAGCCTTAATCTCCTATAGTGGCATCTTCTTCTACCATAGGTATTTGCCTCAACAAACATAGCTGTCCCACAGAGAAATTCCCATCGGGACTCAAAATAAAGAATATTAGCTGGAAGAAGTCATGTAAAAACGACTTCCTTTGAATCTTATTTTTGAATTTCATAGGTTCACTCTAAATTTCTGTGGGCACATGACACATTTTTGGAATAAAATATAGATGTTAAAAATCTATTAAAGCTTAAAACTTTTCCATAAACAGAAATGTTTTATATGACATTTCCTTATTAAAGGAAATGTATGACATGTTCCTTCTTATTAAACATTGTCAATTTTCTAATAATAATTGTTAATAGGATTCTCCCATTTAAAGTGTTTAACAAAGTTAACTATATTATAAATATCATCAAATAACATCTGATCAGAAGCTCCCATCTTTCCTTGATCCAAGTTTTTAATTCCTCAACCAGAAAGTTCTTACAACCTGGAGTGTTTTCCCGCCTCCAGTGAAACTGCCTAAGTGAGCCTATTCTGTTAAATGAGTACATGGTTAAGATACAGATTCAACAGACACTTTCTCTGGCTGAATCTCAGACCATTCAGATGGTCTACCTTTGAGAAAGTAAACTGTACTATTTCCAAGTTAATACAATATTTAGGTTCTATTCCAGTCATCTTCTTAAAAGTACGGGGATCTTTGCTACAACAGAGTTTATTTAAAGCAATTCTATTTGTGAAGTATTGCTGCTGACATCACCAGTATACAATATCCTGTCACTCTGCCATCTGTTTATTTAGAGCCAAACACATTATAACAACATAATGCAAGCTCATTGTAGCTGACAGGAAAAGGACTCCATCTGGCCTGAACAATATAACTTTAATCAGTGATAATGATAATTATTATTAAAAACTTACAGGAGTTATTTTGTACAAAGCTAATACATCTAAATTGATTTATACTAGCGGAAATTAGAAAGGACTGTGAGACAAAATAGGAGGCAGTGAAAACTTTTTGGAGTACAAACTTTTTTATGAGAAAGTAGCTAATGTTAATGTGATTTCTTAGATTTGGTAGAATCCTCTAAATTGATCCATTAAGTGATCTGTTAATTGAAGATAGTTGAAGCATAAGATATTCTACCATTTAATCTACGATTTATTTAATCAGGTTTGGGGCTCATAAAATGTTTGGCCTTATTCTTTGTGACCAGAATACTACCTCACTGGAAAAAAAAGAAAGAAAAGAAAAGAAAAGAAAAGATAAGAGCGAATAGAAGAGAAGAAAAGAAAAAGAAAGGAGGACGGAAGGAAGGAACCAGGAAAGGAAGGAGTTAAGTAACACAATTCATATTAAACATTTTAATATTCTCAATGTTTTTCTCCTACTCGATTAATTTTTTAACTTCTTATTCATGAAATTCCAATTTGCCACCCAGACATCTGATCCCAGATTCAATATAAAAAGGCGTGTTGCTAGAAATACTGTTGATGGTTCTTGATAAGGTATCAGGGCAAGGCCCATCTATTTGAAAATGTGATGTAGTACCCACACACACACAAAAACAAGTTGAAATAATTTAACCTTGACTGTCTACTTGATATTATGAGATTTTTTTGGTAGTTTCCATTTCCACTTGACCTACACATTTCAGAATTCTATTATGACAAACACACTAGAGGATCTAGAATTGACTGTACTCCCATAAATGGCTGTTCAGCCAGGACTACCTTTATTTTACTTTCTCTCTAGAGCCTTGACACTTTTGGAATCTGTCCTAGTACTCGGTTCAGCTTTAGCTTTACTCTTCAAAATGGTGCAAGATACGGCACTTTTGTTATCACTGGATGTCGCCAATTAACAATTAAGTAAATGCTACAATATCTGACCAAAATATCTGATTAGAGATATTTATGAATCAATGTACTTACTACATTTTTATGTCTGTAACCTTAGTTTCATTCTTGCAGTTAATTGGGAAGTATAGAAAGAGTTCCCATAGTAATTAACTGCCTAACACAGAAAAAAAACGACGAAATTTCCAATAAGTGTTCCCTCCTATGTCCTTCCAACCATGTATCCCTGATTATCTCATAAGCACCTTCTTCATCTTGTGTATTAGGCATGATGTTAAGCAATGGACATAAAATATTATACTGAAACAGGTAAGTTTATCACCCTCTTAGAGTTTAGAATTAAATCAGGAAAAGAGTTCTGACTACTCTGTAGCTAATGTTCACCCTCTATCAGTTTAAGGGAAAAAGCCAATAAATCTACATTTTTAACAGCCCACTAGCCCAGGAAAGAAGAGTTGGATGAAAGCAGGTGGAGCTAGATCATTCCCAGTCTAATTCCCAGCTACACTGGAAGTCAGCTACATTCCTTAAACAATGACTTGTCCATGTGACATCTAAAAGGAGCTCACCCTAGACCATATCAGTGAAGAGTGTAAGAATAGGCTTCAATATGTCCCTTGTTTGTCTGAAAAAACAAAACAAAACAAAAAAACCACAAATATTTTAATGATAGCCTACTAGCTTACTGGGATTTTCTTCCTGCCCTCTGTTCTCAGGCACGCACTAACCTCAAAAGTCCTGATTTCATGTGAAAAAGAGATCTTATATGTTTGTCATATTTAGTGTGAATTAGTTTTATAAACTACTTCTCCCCAGAGTGTGTTTTGTAAATGAGGGCCACAAAGAGAGGAATTAGTCAGATGCCAGAATATGCAAATGAGAGCAGTGTTTAGGGGTTTTACCAATGCTGTCCAAACAAATCTTCCCACTTCCATGTCTCAACCTGGTAGATGATTCTTTCCATTGATTATTGCAATTTTTTTTTTTTTTTTTTTTTTTTTTTTTTGAGATGGAGTCTCGCTCTGTAGCGCAGACTGGAGTGAAGTGGCGCAATCTCAGCTCATTGCAAACTCTGCCTCCCGGGTTCAAGCAATTCTCTGCCTCAGCCTCCCGAGTAGCTGTGATTACAGGTGCCTGCCACACGCCCAGCTAATTTTTGTGTTTTTGGTAGAGACGGGGTTTCACCACCTTGGCCAGGTTGGTCTTGAACTTCTGACCTCGCGATCCACCCATCTAGGCCTCCCAAAGTGTTGGGATTGCAGGCATGAGCCACTGCGCCTGACCTTTTTTTTGAGACCGAGTTTCGCTCTTGTTGCCCAGGCTGGAGTGCAATGGCACAATTTCGGCTCACTGCAACCTCCACTTCCCAGGTTCAAATGATTCTCCTACCTTAGCTGCCCAAGTAGCTGGGATTATAGGAATGCACCACCACACTGGGCTAATATTTGTGTTTTTTAGTAGAGACGGGGTTCCCCCTGTTGGCCAGGCTGGTCTCAAACTCCTGACCTCAGGCGATCTGCCTGCCTCAGCCTCCCAAAGTGCTCGGATTACAGGCATAAGCCACAGTGACTGGCCTGCAATAATTCTTTTAAAGCTATGTGAGAAATAGTCCACTTTTTTTACTAAAAATGAAAAATGTGACATTTCCATATAGCTCAGTCATAGGAGAATTAATCAAATTAGTATGTCCTGTTATTCTGACTCAAAGAGACGAAATAAGAAACAAACCAATATTTTAAACAACCATTTCAATTACTTTAGTAATTTTTAAAAATAACTTAAAATAAGTGCTAGGCGTAGTGCAGTAGCACATGTCTGTAATTCCAGCACTTTGGGAGGCCGAGGTGGGCTGATCAGTTGAGCCCAGGAGTTTCAGACCAGCCTGGGCAACACGGCAAAACCCCGCCTCTACAAAAAATGCAAAAATCAGTCGGTCTTGTTGGTGCATGCCTGTCTTCTCAGCTACTCTGGAGGCTGGGGTGGGAGGAGCACTGGAACCTGGGAGGCGGGGGTTGCAGTGAGCTGTGATTGCTCCACTGCACTCCAGCCTGGGCGACAGATCAGACTCTGTCTCAAAAAATAAAATAAAATAAATGAATAAATAAAATAAAAATAAGTTCTGGTTATTCCCCATCACCATTATTTTAATTCACAGGCAATCCCTCTGCTTTGACAATGCATTATTCATCATGGAAGCTGGCAAATGTGACTAAGTTAATCTTTTATGTTTGTCCCGCAGATGTTACTAAAAATGTAGCCTTTGCATTCCTTTTTAGGAACTAGAGTCCATGAACTGCATTTATATTTTTAAGAGTCACAAATTCATCTAGAAGTTGTGCTTGTTTGTGTGACCACCTGAATGTGGGATTCAGTGCCTACCTCTGTAATGCTTTCTGCAAGTAATAGGCCAGGACAGTTGAAGAGTTACAAAATATGAAGTCATTGGCAACCATAAAAGATCATATCCTCAAACTGCCTCTAGCTAAAGGCAATGCAGTTATATCCCTGGATTTTTCTTTTACTCCTTTTAAAAACTGGCAGGTTTGACCTCTTAAAATTATTTTTACTAGAGA